ACAGGATTAGGGTTTGGAAATATTATCCAGAAAGTACTTTTTTGATGTTAAAAAAACACAGTAACCCTGAAGACATGACTTTCCCTCCTTCCTAAACAAACTCAAACGCATCAAAATTCACATGCTGACGATATCTTCCTTTAGGGAGCTGCAGAAGAGCATTATTACATAAACTGGAAGTTCCAGAGTGGTAGAGTAAAATCATTTAGTCAAAAACTGGCTGCATGCAGGCATACATGGGGGCGTTCCATGTCAATATTTCATACGAACAAATTAAATGGCCTGTATACAGTTCCTGACAGTGACCTGATGTACATAAAACAGAGGAATAATTTAACTACGCTTTACAATGAGTCTAAAGCGGTGCTGCAATTGATGGTTATTGATTAATTTGTAGATTTTTTTTTTTCGTTTAATATAGTCTTTGCTCAATGAAATGTAGCAACCATTTGAGAAGCTGAGATTTTAGAGCACGTGGCGTTTTTCACTATTTCTGCACTAGAAAATGACAGAACTAGTTAACTGATTTATCAAAATTGGCTAAACGATTAATCAACTAATCATTTCAGCTCTAGCATGAAGCCCCTGAGAACTCTGTCTCATATTTGTCTGTAACATTAAATATCCATGACTAAATAAGCACCAATCAAAGTAAAAGTTAAGAAAGATCATTTTCCATTTTACACTCAAAAACTCAGCTAATCTGCTTCATCAGGACTATGTGGATGTGGTTTGATAAGATTTCATTGAAACACCAGCAAACGACCTCAAAACAGTCTTTAAGATTTTCAAACGTTGCAAAACTAAGATTGGTTTCTCAGAAGTTCATGCTGTCACCTTTCCCCCACTTCAAACAAGTGAGAGGGGTGAGGGCCAAACCCCAAACGTATTCGTGTAGGACGCCGTTGCACAATATCACTAATAAAGCTTTTCAGTGGTAAAGATACAGCAAATTGTATCTCATCTATTTAAACTGAAACCCGAAGGTGAAAAAACTAAAAACACAATGAAAATAATCAAACATTCCCCTGCAGCTTTTTGACATGCCTTGAGAGTTGTGTTGCTGCGCTTCCAATGCTGCAACCCTGAGACACTTGCAGGACAAAATGTTTTCCTGCAGCTCTCAGAGGGAACACCCGCAGAGAGAGGCCATCATGAGGCCATTTTGGCATTCATGAGCATGATTGATGACACAGGGATGGAGGCAGCATTTGAGAAATCCCCTCTGCTGCGGGAAAAATGATGATTGTTTGGATTCTTCTTCCCTGATAGCATCCCCCTCTGCTGCTTCTCAGTAGGACACTTTCACAATGCATTATATAGCAGAACGCAGCCTCAAATGCTGGTGCTATATATACAAACTCAGACAATAACTGCCAAGCCGAAAAGTCCAATTATCTGCAAATTCTATCACAAATATTATGATGTTTGCAGGGTGAAATTTAAACGCATCAACACCCCATAAACCCACCAAAAAGCTGTGAGCCCTCTCAGGACTTCACGCCCAGATCCAGCTCCACACGTGTGACTGACAGGAAGGTCACAATAATCTGACAATACATCACAGGGATACTGACGGATGCTGCAGGGGCCAACAAAGTCACCTGGCCATTCCCTCTGCAGGCACTCCCATTTAGCCCTTTTTAATCCTCTCCATCCCATTACATGACAGTAGAGAACCTGTGCACATTACACGCTTCAGCAGAGATCATTTGCCTCGTTGTGCAGGCAGCCAAGGATCACATAAAATATCAGCAACGTTATTTCTGTCCCATCTCCATCTCCTGGCTGGGAGTAAACAGAGCTGGATGTCAAATGACCGCATGACAGAATATGACATGCTAAGAAGTTCCATTGAATCCAGCAGTCTGCTGTATGACTCACTTTCCATATCTTCCCGTCGTGTCTCAGACGTTGGGTAATCCACTGAGTGGAAACTGAGACAGTAGGGGCCAGACTGAGCGCAGGTTTGATCTTTAACCACAGCAGTGAAGAATGAAGAAGAGGATTTAAAATTTGATTTTTTTTTTTTTATTTCACTTTTTGTTAAGTCAAATTAAAACAGAAACTAAAGTATGGTGTGGATAGGGGGATGCTGTGGGCAATTTTTAGATGTGTAAACACTCAAAAGACCTTTAGAGCAATCTGAAAGTTCATGCTCCCATGCTTCAAAATGCCTTCACCATGTTGCTGCTGACAGCCTCCAGCCTGGCCTGGTCAGCAGGCAGAAGCATCGCCTAAGTCTTGTGGAATTACTGCACCAACTGAGCCTTTAGGCTTTGGATCATAAAAGCATTTCGGTCAATAACACACCAACTCAACTGCTGTCATTCCACCTGACCCGGTTCCTTCTGTTTGACCAAACAAAAATCTGTGATTTTAAGATTTTCATCTTTAACTTCATACAAAAAAAAAAAATTCTGTAGCTGTGGCTGAGCATTTTCAGTGGTGCTGAGCACTCTATACCCTGCTGTTATTCCTCTATTATATTTGAAATGGTTGAACCATTACAAATATAATAGATTTGGCCAATATGAGTAAATCATGTTGAAAAAGGCTCTAAATGAAAACAAATTATTACACACACACATTAATGTGATAAAGAATTTATCAGTAGTCTAATGTTATTAACCTTAAACAGATAATGAAAATCAAAAAATGTGGCATATATATATATATATACATACACACACACATACATACATATATATATATATGAGATATATGAAATCCAGTGTTTTCTAACAAATCTGATGTGTAACACGGTCTCAAATAGCAACTCACATCAAAAGCACGAGTACACAAATCCATCTGTCACCACAATTCGATGTTAAAGGCCTGCCTATCAGATAATGCTGATTTCAAGAAATCCAACAGCAAAGAGCCATCATTTAACACAAGTGTATGGTATGGAGAAGCAATGAATTTATATAGGTGTAGCAGTAAGATGAAGGCTGGCACTTTTCCCAAGTCATCAGTGAGTTAATAGAGGGTGAAACAGACAGACACAATAATCTATAGGGGAAGCTTTAAGCCGCTCTACAGCGAATCCCACGATGACCAAGTAATGTACAAGTACTGGAATATTAACTCCAAACTAATGTCATGACTGAACACGCTCCCTACCTGCCACACGGACGTTCTTAACCCCTACTTAAAACACTGAGTACATTTGCCAGATTTATCCAAAAAAAAAAAAAACTGTTAAAACCAAGCAACTACTCTACTCAATAAACTCAAGACAGACAAAGTACCATCAGTTATATTATATCATTTCAACAGTTAAACACGGCGATGGAAGATCTCAATAAAGAACATGTGCTGTATTTCTGTCTCTGATACTGGACAAATATTTTGGCAGATACCTTTTTCTGATCAGAAGATGCTATTTTTACATTTACATTTTTACATTAACCTTTAAATAAAAGGAATTTCCCCTTTTCCTCAAGTCAAGCTTTGGCTCAGCTCGAATGTTGTCTGCATGAGTGAAAGGGAATAACTCGAAGGACGTGCCCATCACTGTCTGAATTTGCTGAGGTGTTGATAATGCGTTGTCTCTCCAGCAGACATGTAAGGTTATGACTCATTCAAAGGCCAGATCAAAAGGCGTTTATTCAGGGTGACATCAATCAGAGATGAGAGAGATTGAATTTTTCACTCATTAGGGAGATTAGTTGTGATGTCAGGGACCTGGATCCAAAGGATTTAATCAGTTTGTTATTCAACCCATCGCTGAACAGGTGTGCCAGTTATCAAATATGCAGCCTTTTACTTGCGCCAGATTTCCTGCCTTATAGAAAGAATCGTTGGCCCGGAGCATAACAATGACAACATGGAGAGATAAGTCAGCTGGGGTAATATGAAGACAAAGAAGAACAAATCCAGACATACAGTATTCACATAAATAACAACTATGAAATCACAGAATTAAACTTTACTTTATAACTTTTTCATATTAATATGCTAATCATGTAGCTTTTAAGAATTGATTTAATGGTATATTTAATATAATTTATTTATTTACATTTTACAGCTAAAAAAAGATCAACTACTTATCTATATCCACTTCAACATAAGTATTTTGAAAATTGTATTTATGTAAAAACTCCAACTAAACATCTTCAAACAAGTATTTTTTTTTATTTTTTTTTGCATGTACGAAAATGTATTTTATACATTTTACTGTCACAAGACCCAAATGCAAATAGGTCTAAATATGTCATTCATTCAATAAGTGAATGGCTTGGGTAGTGGCTGAAATTATACAGAATGAGTGACTCGTGGTAATGGACTAGGCAACTACTGAAGCACTGCAAGAGCCAGCAGTTCCACTTCACCTCATCACCTCATTTTCGCAGAGAATCTGAGTTAATCTGCAGAGTTGACCATTCATTATCTCTGCTTGGTTAGCACTGTCGGAGACCTCTACTGGACAACACGTAGACCGACCTTATACCACAGCTGTCTGGAGGACTATTTTTTTTTCATATTCATTAGTGATGCTGGCTGATGTTATAGGATACTGTTATCGCAGCACGAATATACAACCATTAAACCTCGCGTAAAGTGTTAGTGCTGTGTGTTCAGGCGTCTTAAATCGCAGCAGGCCTGTCACTTTCACTGGTGCAAGCTGCAGGGAGCAGGAGGCTGCTCCAGCTGTTGCTCACCATCCTATCTGCGGTCAATTAGGATTATTTTGGCAACTGGTTTAAAACTTTAGTCGGTGAGACTCGCAGCAACTTAGTGACTGACAGGTGGTTGAGGTGCCCGTTCAATGCAGTCGCAGGCAAACCCCTGCAGCATTCAACCCGCCTTTACAGACCCGTTTTGCATTATAAATGATTTGCAATGTTATGGTTTGAGATTCTTTTTTTTCTTTTTTTTTTTTACTTTTCAATCCAGGTCTAAAAATTAAATATGGATGTGTTGATTTCACAAAGGCCGTGTTTATTTAAATGGCGCTGAGCCTAATTGACAGGTCGCACTGAGTCCAACCTTACCTGGGATCTCCTGAAGAGGAACATGTGCGAAGCTGAAGCCTTTCCCGATACAAGCCTCCCTCACCTCGCTGCAGTTCCGTGCTTTAAAATCTGCTCTTGCTGCAACCGACAGCACAGAAAAAGTGCAAATGATGGTCTCTAGTCTGAGCATTGTTCACTTCTGTGAAGATCCCTATTGTTTAAGGTTCTCTGCAGTAGGATATATATCCCGCTTGCTGGCAAAACTCCCCTGCAGCAGGTCCGCAGGTACTTAATGAGTGGGTGTTTAATGGTTGCAACTAAACTCTTGGTGTCTACCAACACATTTCCCAGAGCTAAACGGGGCTCTGTTGCAACCGAGAACGGTTCAAAGTCCCCCGGCGCCCGCAGAGAAGAGGACTGCGAGTGTGGAGGTGCCTCATGAATCCAGGCAGCGCGTTTCCCGGCGTGTTGACTCAACTTCGCTGAGCAGACGGAGCCCCTGGTCGCCGTGTTGGAGTGGAAATGCTGTGTGGAGGGGAGCGCTCTGTGTTCACATCAGATGCACCGGCAAGGCAAAGCGGAATACAAAATATGGAGTGGAATCCAGCCTCATCCATTTCATTGGTGTGGGCGTGGGATGGGATGGGGGGGGCTGCAGGTCGGCACCTACCACCGGAAATGAAGTGGAAATAAGAAAATCAGAAAAAAATATATAGAAAAGGTAGGAGTTCAAGTGAATTATGGGATATAATAAAATATCAGCCAGAGTTTGAAAAAAAAGGTTATTTTTGTGAGGTTTCAAGAGCTAAGCCACAGCACACAGCACAAGACAGCACTGAGCTCATTTTGCAGTAAGTCTCTCAGACTGGAGTATTTTGGGGATGTTAGTGCAAAGTAATTGTGAAATACTTGTCACTTCTGTAAATGCTTATGTTTAAGGTGCTCTCAGAAAATTAAGAATATTTGCGTATTGTGAAATGTGGTTGATTAAATTTATTAAATATGATTTAAAATATTTATGCAACCTTTAGCTATGTGGCCTATATACCATGATGATGTTCCAGTGATGTGGATTTTACAGAATTAAAGAGCGAAACACCAGTAGCACAGAGTCAATTCGTATTAACTAGGGGATGTAAAGGATGTGACGAAGACCAGAAGGCAAGCTTTCATGGCTTTATTGATTTTGGAACGGCTTGATCCTTGGGTAGATCAACAGTGGATTAACATGGCTGCCATCACTGTGCAAGAATTCCTATTGGTATGGGATACCACATTTTGAAAAGGTGCTTTAAAGTGACATTGGCTTGTTTCAGAGGGTGACGCTGCTCTGGAAGATTGTGGATTAGATGCCATTCAGATTTAGAGGGGAATAGCAGGATAGGTTCTCCCATTTTGTGGTGAAAGAATCTCCACTTGCCTGATTATCTTCAGGAAAGACAGTCATTAAACTACTATAAAAAATATATATATTATGTTCACGTTGGTTCAAGATTCAATGTGTTCATTGACAGGTCACAGGAGCAATTTTGTGTCTCCATCACAGGTGGCCAAAAATTGTTGGTTATTGGTCTGTAACACTTCAATAGGGAACTAGAGTTAAACTAAAATCTTACACCAAACTTACTGTGTCTATGTCTCAGATGATTGCAGCGTAGGTGGACACAAAAAAAAAAAACAACAAATTGTTCAAACACTATTGTTAACATAACCTGAAGTATAAATGTGGTCTCTAAAATATACCATTGAATTAAAGGATGATGGAAACAGTGATTGGTCTTAGCTGTCGGACAGCTCCCTTCGTGAATTCTCCGCTCTACTTTTAAAGTGAGACTTTTTGACCTGGACATGTCACAGTTAATTAATGTATCCAACTTTGAAACTCAGGGGACAATTTCATCCAAATGAAAATTTTTAATACAATAAAAAATTAATTTCATGGGAAATTCTCAGCTAAGATAGCTGTCAAGTTACCTGACTAGACTGCAGAGCACTGCAGGAGTGACTTCTGTATGTATGTGTGTGCAAGCATATGAGCTGCCTACAATGCTGCCTTGTGTATGACATTTGTAAAGTAATATATGTTTCCCCTTTTTTTTTCTCTCCAGCATCTTACTGCAGCTCTTTTGGGATTCCCAAGCACTTCCAGACCAGCTAGAGATGTATTCCATCCTGCTTGTTCTGAGTTTATCTTGGGGTCTCCTTCCAGCTGGTCATATCCAGTACTGCTACAAAGGGAGGTGTCAAAAAATATAGTTAGTCACAAACTCAAGTGCAGTTAAAAGGCAGGAGACTGAGCATGTACTAAAAATGGAGTTTTATTATCTTGGCAAAACCACAAACGTTACTTGGGAAAACAGTAAACACTGCCGCCATCAAGGTGACTAAACTATAACTTTGGCAACTGTCACACTAACAGTGCAGAAAGCAACAAAGGGAACTTGGATAGAAACAAGCTAAGCTGTCACACTTATAGCACTTGCAATGAACACATTATCAGGTGAGGGAGCAGCTCCTCAAATCTCAGCAACCAGCAGATATAACACACGCAACCACATCAACAGGCCAATTCACCGACGAAACGGCGGCGTGGTCACCGCCTTGTAACTTCCAGCTGGCGATTGCCATTACACCTGGCAAAAGTACAGTGGGACATTTCATTTACAACTGACAGCTATACGTGATCAGCACCCTGGAGAGTTCCACATCCTCACCAGGTACCTGAATCACCTCATCTGGGTTTCTTCTAATGTGGGATAGGCAGTTGCACAGCACTGCGATCCTTCTGAGAGAAGTGAAAATCTCACCATATCTCATAATGAGACCCGACTGCCAGCGAGGCTTCCTCTTTGGCTGCTTGTGTTTGGAATCTCATTCTTTTGGCCACCAGCCTCATACTTGTGTTCATAGGTGGGGATCATTATCAAGATAAATCAAGCAGCGTTGTGACTGTCTCCACATGGTCCAACTTGTACGACTTCAGCTGAGACCCCTAACTGTTAAATGCTCAGGATGAGTTGGCTGATGAGCAGTCTTTCATATTATATTGGTAGGTGCTCGGATGTACACCTGCTTATGTGTTATGACGATGTAACCTGTTTTATGTGAGCTTGTGTGGGGGAGTTTTACATATGTTTAACATACTATGTGTGTGTGATATGCTTTATGTGTTTTATTATGTTTTATATTCTGTGTACGGTGTTTCACCTGGCTGCAACCTGTAAGATGCAAAATCGACTGTGAATAGTTGAGTTCAATTATTTTATTACTGTATGGGTCTGTGAACTGAGTTATTATAGTTTATTATTAATGTTTAATCAATGTTGTCTAGGTTACTGCTCATGTGCAGTAGGCTAGATAAGAAGAGTAAAAGAAAATCATGATCAGTTAGTTAGTTAAGAGGGTGACCAGCTAAGTGTGGAACAAAAAGGTCTGGAGTGGAGAAATAGACAAGCGGTCTTTCCTGAGAAAAGCTCAGAGGCTTTTCTGTTTTTGGGTAGAAAATGAAAAGCTGAAATAGAGAATTCTGATAAACTGTCAAACCCGGATGACCTCATATATGCCCTTCATGAAAACAGAAACAAGGAAATGACTGAATATTTGAATATGAGTCAAAGTGTTGTCCCTGACTGGCATCCTAATGGGCTTTGATTTCACCCCTATATACTGAATGTCTGTTCTTGGGGCAGCTGCACACTCCTCATATGGGTGAGAAGATTCATGTTTATTCTGAGCAGCAAGCAAGGTGTCAGAATTGGAGGCGTGTAGAGACCCAGAGCTGACGCCATGATCTAATGAAATCAGAGTCATCTGCAAATAACAGACTGACTCAAAACTCCTATTGTTGTTTTACACCGTGTCCATGAATATCATAAACAAGAAAGACTGTGAAAATGAAGCACATGCTTGTATGGATCTCATGTTATACATGTGGCAAAGTGCAGAACATGCCTGACTTAATGTAAAGAATTTGAACACAGCTTGCTCACTTATTGTGCTTGTGGACTATACTCATGGCTACTACCACAATACACATGCACAGTATGTTTCCAGCAAATCCTCAACACGTGTAGAAAGGCGCTTTATCCCTGTGATCCCTTAATTATCTTTGTTGGAGTGAAAACAGTGTGCATTGTTCCACAATCTGATATTACTCTTGAATCTACGGGTTCAAGGAGCAGCATGAATCTCCTTTCATGCACCATGCTGTGTAGTGTCTGTGTATTCCACAGGTATTGTTCCAAATCGTCTCAACACTGAGGACACCTCAATTGCTACAACCCAAAAAATATTAAATTATTGTAAGCATTTTTTTGTCATATACATATACCCTGCATTTTTGTAAGAAAAAAAAAATACCAATGCTGCATTTGTTTCCTTTGAAGACAGCCTCAGTCTCACCATCAGAGCAGCTGATGGCTCAGTTTCTCCTGCCAGCCAGAAGGTCTAATAAATATGCTCTCAGATCTGATTAAATAAAACACAAAACAGATAACTGACATGCAGCCTACATCGCTCTGGCACCATGTACAGTGTGGACAGTTGGTGTTTGTTTTCCGTGAGTCAGACAACAGAGCAATCGCACCTTTACAAGCACATCTAATGCAGGTGTCCCAGTTGTTGCCAGTTTCTCGGTCTGCAGCCGACACCACGAGTACTCTATATATATTTGTGCTTGGTCAGTGTGTCAATCTGTTCCTGCCTTGAAGCCTTGTAATATTTACTAAGATTTGGGGAAATTCTCATTGGATGTGATTGCTGATTATATAGTCTATCCTGTCACTAATAATGGCACTCTTATAATGTAATTGTTACTATGGATAGCTGCGTTTCTTTTTTTTATAGGTCTATTCCAAGGAGACAAGTCATATTGTGTCTGTTTTCTACTTTTAATTTAGCCAATGTCAATCACAATGCCTGCGTCCCTGACGGATTGAGCCTATTCATATCTCAACTATCGAGACTTGAAGTATGAAAGACTCCTGTGGTGGCCATCTTCTCTCTGTCCAGTAATCCACATTACCACTACAGTTACAGGCTGTATATTGGCAGTAAGCAACATAAGATCAATCTTCAGAGGCAGTAATTCCATTTTGCACGTTTACTAAGAACAAAAAACTGTCTCGTTCCATAGACTATTATGTAATTAGTAGAAACTAAAAGGAGCATGTCAACATTTTTGCTCGTTAA